ACTTGAATTCTGGGATAGCATATTGCTATTCTTAGCCTTTTACAGTTCGTCTATTCCTCTTATTTTTCCAGTTTCATTAGGATATTTTTTGATTGTATTCTCTCGTTAATTAGCGTGCGTGAAGTCGGAATAAAGAAGCATTTGACAATTCCTGAGTTGGCCAGAATTTACTTTTATCGCAACCTGCCTTCTTCTAAGAAGTCAATGTTAACGCCTTTGAATTTCCCTCCCACAAAAAAAAGGGTTGTGTCACTTCGTGTGCAATTAGGTGAGCCATTACTACTTGAAAACTTGCCGCAACACTGTCTTTAACAGAGGGCCTTGTGCCAGATTAAAACAAGATTGGTGACTCTATTTTGACAGGAAGGAAAATGAATGTCTCCATGACAACTTTCCATATGAATAGGGCTTTTCTCTCGTTACAAAGGCAAGAAAACATGTCGTTGGCTTCTCCTGTCTTTGAGAAGAGGCATTCTGTGAGGAAAGAACAAGAAAGGGAAAAAAACGGATGACGTGACAGATTGAAAGGAAAGAAGCGCTAAACTCGAAACACGTGTAAGGATCGCTTTCCCGACGGGACGTGTTGGGAGACTGAATCGGTGGGGGGGGGGCTGCGAGTGATGAACGGGTGGGGAGGTTTGAAAATAAGGGAAAGGAGGAGTAGGAAGTTTCATGGAAAATGGATGGTTTAAAAGAGATGATGAATAGAAAGAACAAAAGAAAGTGAGAGAGAGAGAGAGAGAGAGAGAGAGAGAGAGAGAGAGAGAGAGAGTGTGTGTGTGTGTGAGTGAGGGAGAGAGAGAATAGAGGAATATTAATGAAGAGGAATAAGAAAGATTAAGGAGGAAGAAAAGGAAAAAGTAATGAAGAGGAGGAGATAAAGAAAAGATGTATTTCGGGTGAAGAAGTAAGAGTGAAAAAAAGAAAAGAAAAGAAAACAAAAGGAAAAAATAAAAAAGAAAGAGAAAAAGAAGTAGGGTGAAGAGAGGAACAGAAATGAACTAATAATGAAAGAAGGAGAAAATAATAATAATAATAATAAAAAGAGAAAGAAGAAGAAATGGGATGAAGGGAAAAGCTGAGAAGAAAAATTAATAAGGAATGAAGAAGAAGAAGATGAAGGAGAAGAAGAAGAGGAAGGAGGAGAGGAAGAAGGAGGAGGGGGAGAAGAAGAAGAAGAAGGAAGAGGAGGAGAAGGTGAAGAAAAAGAAGAAGAGGAAGGAGTAGGAGGAGGAGGAGAAGAAGGCGGAGAAGGAGAAGGTGAAGGAGAAGAAGAAGAGGAAGGAGAAGGAGAAGAAGGAGGAGGAGAAGGTGAAGGAGAAGAAGAAGAGGAATGAGGAGGAGGTGAAGAAGAAGGTGAAGGAGAAGAAGAAGAGGAAGGAGAAGAAGAAGAAGAAGGAGGAGGAGGAGAAAGAGAAGAAGGAGGAGGAGGTGAAAGAGAAGAAGAAGAGGAAGGAGGAGAATAAATGTGATGAAAAGAGAAACAGATCAATTCGCATGAAACTGAAAAAGAATGAAAGGAAGTAAAAAAGAAAGAAAGAAAGAAAGAAATACGGAAGATATAAACAGAGAAGATGGAGTGTGAATAAAACTGAGACAGATGAGAAAGAAAGAAAGAAAGAAAGAAAGAAAGAAAGAAAGAAGCAGTAGTATTAGTAGTAGAAGAAGAACTGGAATGAAGTGTGAAACAGATATGAATTAATAATGGAGCCGAAAAAGAAAGAAAGAAAGAAGACAAGGATGACAGATACAAGAAACGCAAGAACTTAAGAAGGAGAAAAATATAAAAGAGAAGAGGAATTATCAAAGAAGAAAAGAGAGAAAGAGAAAGGAACTAAAACGAAGTAACATACGCTAAGAAGAAGAAGAGGAAGAAGAAGAAGAAGAAGAAGAAGAAAGGAAGGAAGATTAGAAAGAAAGCGTATCAAAGAAAAGAGAAGTAGGAAAAGAGGAAAAAGCAGTGACGTATAAGAAGACAAGAAGGAAGTAAAGAGAAAGAGAAGAACAATTAACAATGAAGTAAAAAAGTAATATAAGGAAGAAGAAATGGGGTGGTGAGAAATACAGAGCAGCAAATTAATAATAATAATAATAATAATAATAATAAGAAGAAGAAGAAGAAGAAGAAGAAGAAGAAATGATAGGAAAAAGAGAATCAGTCACTAAGAAGAAATGGAATGAGAAGAGTAGTGAAAGAAGATACATTGAAAAGACGGAGGGGGAAATGAAAGGAAGGGGAGGAGACGGATAAGTAGTTTTGAATCAGGTGGTGGGAGAAAGAAGGTCACAGGATGAAGAGGTGGAGTAGGAGGCGATGCTGATGGGAAAAGTAGACATAAGGCTGTCCAACGAGTAGAATTCTGGCGTAGACTTTGCTTGATAACCGGTAAAGCAAGTGGCCTGTGTAACGAAAGAAAGAAAGAAAGAAAGAAAGAAAGAAAGAAAGAAAGAAAGAAAAAAAAAACAAACAAAAGAATGGTTTGTTCACGAAGAGACACGCCTTTATAAAAATTCAAACAGAAAAAGATCAAGACATCGAGAATAATGTGTAAAACTCTTCGGTCATTTTCAACTCTTGTAAATTTATAATAATTGCTAATGACACAACTATTTACTCCTGTCTTAACAAGTCTAGTCAGTTCGATAAGGTCAACTTGGCAGCTGATCTAAAAAAAAAATGATCTAGAAAACCTGCTGTTAACTGGAACAGGGAACAGCTTGTTAATTTGAACACATCTAAAACTAAAATGCTCTCCATTAATCATCTTAGAGATACCTTTCTGTCTCCATCAGCATAGCTGATGCTAACCTCTAGAAGAGTGACTCACTGCACCTTCTCCCGTCCTGGGTATGAAGATAAACTACATTCGCGTCCAGGGTAAGACGATAAACTACATCCAACAGCAAGGCCTCTGATCAGATGGTTTTGAGGAGCGTGGAACTACCTCTTAATTGATGATGTTCCCAGGTCAACCCTGACCCGGGGGTGGTAGCACCTGTTAGGGTCCCAGCTATGGGTAAATAGTTAACCCCTAAACTAGGGTCAAAATACTAGGAAAGTGAAAAAAATAGGTTTTAATACCAGAAATACTTTGTAAAAAAATTAAAAAAAATCATTACCAGCAATACATTTTTGAAAAAAAAAAAAAAAATACCAGCAACACACTTAAAAAAAAATATTACCAGTGATACATATTTGAAGAAAAAATATTACCAAAAAAAAATTACCAATAATAAAAATTTTGTTGGCATTAAATAACCGTTGATATACCGTAAAACAAGCCAAACCAAACCTTGCACTTTCTCGGGTTAACATTCTCGGCTGATATGAAGTGGAAATTTGAATCAATTTCTCGGTCTGCCTAGAAAGTTGGTTCACTGTGTGTCATGCTAGACAAATTTTCTCTCTAGAATTTATTTTACATATTTATAAGTTTTTTTTATTCGTTTATGCTTTGAATATCGTTGCCACATATGGTTTCTAGCAGAAAAACGCAATTTACACGTAGTTAGAGAAAAACAAATTAAATTTTATTATGAGCACTGGTAAAAAAAATGTTGCTGAGTTTATAAGTCCCAAAAATTCATTCGCAGATGTCATCAAGGGCACATGGCCCAGTGGATAAAGTGGTTACGTTCAGTGACTAGTTAGATTCAAAGAGGTGTGAGTTCAATACCAAATCTAGGTGAGTTGAGTTAAATAAAATAACTGAGACATGGAACTGAGTGGACGAAATAAAGGGTTCGGTTTGAAATTCCAATCACCTGAAGAAGACCGAAACGTTGTAAATATGGCTATGAAGATAAAGATTAGGATAATATAAATAATGCATGTAATCATACCTCATCTCAGAGACAAATTAAAGCCAAATTTATACAATTATTAGAAAACATATATCTCTAACTACACGCCGTTTTTCGTCTTTCATCGCACTCCACTCAAAACAAATTTTAAAACAAAAATATACCAGTGCTGGCCATTATCGACGCAACTCTCGCTTGCCTCAGATGTCTACAACTACATCCGTGTGTTTCCCTATATATATATATATAAGATAATTATATACCAGAAAAATTAGAGAGAGAGAGAGAGAGAGAGAGAGAGAGAGACTTTACGCACACACATATGCTACCCGAGATCACGGCTGACTGCCCGACCGACCATTAGGCTGTGAAAACGACTTCCTGTGAACACAGAAAGAGAACGAACTCACAACCGATACCAATCAAAAAGTCAGCCAGGTTAAGTATATATATTTTAGACTCTCATTTCACACCTCCTAACAAAGGTATGAACGCTATTCTATACGATTTTTAGAGACATTTTTGCTATCTTGTAAATGAAAATAAACCTTTAAAATTTCTTTTATAAACCATTCGTTTCTTCACTTCAACCAACTTCCTCCTCGGATCAGGTGCTTCTGCTAAATATTTAGAGATTCTTGATAAAATGCCAAAATGTATCTGCAATATTATTGTTTCTAACCTGGTATCTCTCTCAAAGATTCATATTTCTATAAAACAAATAAATATAAATTCTCTGTGCCTTTTCATTACTTACGGAACATATGAAAGGCAAGAGAAACAACAAAGATTGACTAATGAACGTCTATAAATCAATAAAAGTACATAGAATGGGAGAAATAGTAAGGGGACAGATATTGCTTAAGGCTACAAAGGCATAGGAAGTTGTGGAGAGTCATAATCGCCCACGTCTCGAAGGGATAAGGCACCCAAAGAATAAAAAGAACAGGAGGAAGAAGAAGACGAGGAAAAGAAGAAAATTGGTTCAAACAAGTAGCTTAATTTCAGAATTGAATTTGAAGCTTGAAAGAACAGATTTTTCCATCTTTCTCAAAAGAGTAAAAGAATCCGTATTTCAGTTGGCTTTCAATTTTATCTCAAAGAAGAATCGCCTACGGATAGAGAGGATCACCATTGTATACAGGGACATGCGCACATTAGGTTTTCTTGTGTATGCCTTCGTTTCACAATTCTGTGCCATTTTGCTTCAGAAATTTCCTCGAATCCCCAATTCAAAGTGAGGCTACTTCTATGAGTCTTTCATACTCCCAAAATACCTTCATTTGTAGTCAATGATCGTAAACTTGATAAAAAAAGGAGAATAAAATGGTTAAAATCTAATCTAAAAAAAAATTTGGAATATTTCTTGTTCATTGTTTATTGATCCCTTGTTGGTTACTGTAGCAAAGATATAAATATTTATATATATATATATATATATATATATATATATATATATATATATTTATATTATGTGTGTGTGTGTGTGTGTGTGTGTGAAAATTATATAAATATAAATAAATATATATATGTATAATTATTTATATATTATATAAATTCGCAGGTATTATTAGAAAGCGCTCAATATCAGAGATAGAGTGCAACATCATTTACGGATAGGGAATGTAGTTTTAGACCCTCAAGACCAAAATATTTTAAAATCGTATGACAAACTCTGACGTTTCATCAAAAATTTGAATCTATCCTACCTGTACCATATATATATATATATATATATATATATTAATGTGTTTTTGTTTAAAAACATGATTCCTTCATTTAGGGGTAGTTCTCATGTTTCAAAAATTAGAGAAAAACCATCCAAATAATTATTAAAATTATCATTTTGAATTAAACTTTAGTCCTGTTTCATCTTCAAGCGAAATTTTAGGAATAGGCTATCTCTTGGTTTATATATATATATATATATATATATATATATATATATATATATATATTATATATATATATATTAATTAAAATTAAATATACGCTTATATACGAGGGTCATTCAAGAAATAAGGTGAAATTTTCGGTATAAGGACTTCTAATACAGATAGAAGCTTACTTTTTTTTTTTTTTCAACGTAGTCTCCCAGCACTGTCACACACTTTTCCCATCAGTGCACAAGCTTCCGTATTCCCTCAGCGTAAAAATCTTTGGACTGGTGTCTCAGCCAGTCCCTCACAACACTTTTAACTTCATCGTCACTTTTAAACTTCGTGCCTCTCATGAACGCTTTCAAGGGACCAAACAGGTGAAAGTCTGAAGGGGGCAAGGTCTGGGCTGTAAGGGGGATGAGGGAGCAGTTCCCAGCCCAGCTCGTTGATAGTCTGCACCGTTTGAGCTGCTGTGTGAGGCCTTGCGTTGTCATGATGCAAGATGACTCCTTCTGACTGATGACCCCTGCGTTTGTTCTTTATGTCTTTCTTGACCTGCCTCCGCAATTCACAGTAGTTCTTCTGTCAGACTGAATGAGGTCATTGACTGTTTCGATCACCTCAAGAGACCTCACTTCTGTAGGCCTCCCAGGCCTGTCTTCATCCTCAATATTGCTCCGTCCTTCTTTAAACAATTTAGCCCACATGTAGACATTTTTTTGGTTGAAACATGTGACACCATACATAGTTGACATTCTTCTATGAATTTTAACTGGTTTGCACTCTTCAGCAACCAAAATCTTGATAACTGACCGCTGTGCATGCTTCTTGGTCGGCCATCTTTGTTAATCACCAAAACTCTCAAAGTTTTTTTTTTTTTAATCTGCAAAAGAAATTAAATCCATGTGAAAAAGAAGTAAAACAAAAAAAAAGAAAAAAAAGAAAAGAAAGTAAGCTTCTATCTTATTTATTGAATGACCATTTTTTATATCCCAGAAAATAAACTTGATAAGGCTGGGACGAAACCGGTTGTTCTTTTTTAGCTTTTTAAAATGCCATATCAATTTTGCTTATTCCTCTCTGTCTCTGTTGTCTGTCTCTTGTCTCTGTTTCTCTCTCTCTCTCTCTCTCTATATATATATATATATATATATATATATTATATATTATATATATATATGTATATTATATATATATATATATATATATATATTTGCATATATACTAATCACTTACTTAAAATTTCGTTTATTAGAAATTAAATTGTATCATTTCATGTCCTCCATAACTTGCCTAACTTTTCAGTTAACCTGATGAATATTCATATGCGCTTTTTACACCTAAAATTTTTTAAAAATCAATGATATTGTTGCTCTTGAAATAAATACTTTTTATAAAATAAAATCCTTGCATTTGCGTAGATAAATTTCCTTATATATATATATATATATATATATATATATATATATATATATATATAATATCAAATCAATTCCACTTGTTTCAACTTTATTTTTGAGCGAAATGGTCTAAAGATACTCATAGATTGAAAGCAAAATGGCGGAATCGGCTCATCTCCTCATTTTCTATACTTAAAAGCTCTACATGTTATGTTTTAATATTTATATTATATATATATATATATATATATATATATATATATGAAAAGTGTATATAAATATAAATAAATATATATATGTATAATTATTTATATATTATATGCGCGGTACTTATTAGAAAGCGCTCAATATCAGAGATAGAGCTAACATATTTAGAGCTAGATGTGAGTTTGTCTGACTATCGCTAAAGCGTGAAA